AGATCAGCAGTGCCTGCCTGCCAGGATCCCGGTTCTTATCTGCGCCGCGACTCCCGGTTACTGTGCCTGCCACCCTCGCCTCCTCCTGTGGACCCGCCTAGAGCGCCAGCCGTGCAACACCTTGGCATTGCAGCCATCCATTTGTGAGGTGCAGCACAGATGACATCCTCCTCCTTATATATTGATGCCTGATATCTACCCACTTCTTGTGAGTTTTTATAATCTTTGTGTGCAATAAACTTTTATATTCATACTGCTGCACTTAGTCTGGCGCACTTCTCTTTCTTCTCCATTTACCACAGAGGCTCCTGGTTTTACTCTAGAAAGTGCAAGCCTCACGACGGTGTCTCTACATTGCAGCGTTGTATATATATGTATACACATATATATACCATCTATCTCAATCCAGTACTGTTTTGCATCACAAGGCCTTTTTTTTTATTGTTTTTTGTTCCCCCCTCCTTTCCCTACCCCCCCTCCCCTCCCCCTTCCCTTTTCCTCACCACTAAAGCTGCATCATCTACTTGTTGTCCCTTTATTACTGGCATGTACGATTATATATCTTAATTTCTGTTTACTGGATTATTTTGTTTAAATGAGTGAACGTTATATCCACTACAAATTCTCTTGCGCCAATTGCATTTTTGCCCTCAGTTCTACTATCCTGTAAACCTGTATAGGGACGAAGACTGCCGGTACTATGCATTGCAAAAAAAAAAAACTATTTGCTCTATACGCTACCTCTGCTTCTCCCACTGTGATCCTACTGGAGATGGCATGAAGATTAATATTCCTGATATCGGCTTCATGCGATCCTATCGGAGATGGCATGAAAATTATATCCTGATATCGGCTTCATGCCATCCTACCGGAAGGAGATGGCATGAAGATTATATCCTGCTAGATCGGCTTCATGCCATCCTACCGGAGATGGCATGAAGATTATATCCTGGTATCGGCTTCATGCCATCCTATCGGAGATGGCATGAAGATTATCCTGGTATCGGCTTCATGGGATCCTACCGGAGATGGCATGAAGATTATATCCTGGTATCGGCTTCATGGGATCCTACCGTGACCGGAGATGGCATGAAGATTATATCCTGGTATCGGCTTCATGGGATCCTACCGGAGATGGCATGAAGATTATATCCTGGTATCGGCTTCATGCCATCCTATCGGAGATGGCATGAAGATTATATCCTGGTATCGGCTTCATGGGATCCTACCGGAGATGGCATGAAGATTATATCCTGGTATCGGCTTCATCCTACCAGAGATGGCATGAAGATTATATCCTGGTATCGGCTTCATGCCATCCTACTGGAGATGGCATGAATATATATATCCTGATATCGGCTTCATGGGATCCTACCGGAGATCGCATGAAGCTGATATCAGAATATCATTTTTTATAAATATATGATGTAGCTCCACCCCTGAAGGACCCGCTTGGTAATTTTGGGTTCCCTATTCTGCACCTTGACTCCAAGAACAACCTCAGCCTCTCTGACACACCTAGTTGAATAAAATCATTGAGAGCATAAGTAACACACAAGTGTAATACCTTTCGCCTGACTGTGTGGTATTGCTAATAAATACACACCTGTTTAGTGGTAAAAATGCTTAATTTTTTGATACAGATTAGCATAAATGGCAGTTGGAACACAATTGGACACACAGCAGGCATGTTAGTGCACAGTCTGCTAAACAAGGTGAAAACTATACCCAAGAAATAGTAAAAAAAAACAAAACATACTGTATATATATATATATATATATATATATATATATATATATATATATAATAAAGCTTCATATCACTAACCAGAATCAATATGTGAATTACTGAGTGAGCAACAAACAACACAACTGAACAGCAAGGGATGCCCTAGTGGCTTTCTCTCTCTCTCAGAAATTAAATAACTAATATTCTTAGGGTTCATGTACACTGCAGCTGATAAACTGATGTTTAGGTGCTGTTCAGTGTTTTTTTTTTTCAGCAGCCCCTGAACTCTCCCTAATGTTTTCCTATGTGTCCATGTACACATTGTTGTTTACAGTCATTTACAGGCAGTTGAGTTTACAGTCATTTTTTTGAACGCAGAAAACTTTGTGTTCAGGAGTAGATTTTATCAGCTTTTCAAACGCTTGTAAATGCGGCTAACTACGTTTATAGGCGTTTGCGGTTGAAATTTTTTTTTAACTCTTCCATTTCCAGATGCTGTCCAGAGCCTTTTTTCACCATGAAAAATGCATGCAAAGCGTTTTCCCGGTACTCAAATGGACCCGGTACACCATACTTTTGGTTTTACATGAAAGAAAATATGTTAGACACTGCTGCAATATTTTCTGCACAGAAATGAGCTGGAACACATCCAAACACCACAAAAAAAAAAACCACAGCTAATCTCAACACATACTGCTCTCTCTGCTTCTACTCTCTCTATTCCTCTCAAAATGTCTGAATCAGTTCATTTTTTTATTGTTTTTCATTGCATTCTGGGCATTTTGGTATTTTTTATGACTTAGTAAATTATAATTTATTATTTCATGTTTCAAATTTTAACATACCCGGGATGTTTACTAGACTCTTGTTCGGACAGATTTCAGTGAGTTATTCCTAAAAATTACAGGCCTACAATAAAAAAAAATTAAATATTTCCATGCATAAAAAATGTACCGCTTTGAGCACAGAAATACTGACATAATCAGACCACTAGGGAGGCTACTTCCCCATTTAATACATGTTTAGGTGAAGCAACTGGCCTACATAAAGTTCGCTGCAGCTTTCAAAAACAAAGCATGCATACCTAGATTGTAAGCTCGAAAGAGCAGGGCCCTCGAACCCCTCGTGTATTGTATTGTTACTGTATTGTCTCATGTTCTGTCCCCCACTATAATGTACAGCGCTGAGCAAACCTTGTGGTGCTATATAAAATACTGTATAATAATAATAATAATACAGTCCTGTGAACACTTCATCATAGTCAAGCTCACCAACACAGCAGATTGAAATCACATGTCACGTCACGCTCAGTCACATGTGGTTTTACTGTTAATGCTGCATGTGGCAATCACACACGGCTTGCTGCAATTATAAACGTCAACACATAATCAGAAATGCAAAAGTTACATTTACAGTATATAAGAATGCAATAATAACTGGATGCCAACTGCAGGAACTCTTAGAAGACAGTTACCTCCCATCACTGACATCTGGCTGGTTGTTATAGATTGCAGGACTGGCAGGTCCGGGCTGCCATTCTCATTGCCATATTGATGAAGCCCTGCCTATGTACAGTGTGTATACACAGGCTATGGAAGAAGCTCTAGGACAGGGGCCTCCACTCTCCTCAGTAGGACGGCTACATTCTATATTGTATGGACAAAATACATTTTACAAATGAATGAATACAATGTAAATGAATGAAATAACTTCACATCGGAAGTCCCCGTTTTGTATCAGAAGAACAGCATCACATCATAGTCTCCCCCCTTCCATCAGAGACCCCCTTTCACATCAGGTCTCCCTTTCAAATCAGAAGCCGCCATCACATCAGAGTCCCCCTTTCACATCAGAATCCACCCATCATATCAGAATCTCCCATCACATCAGAAGTCCCCCAATCACATCAGACTCTCCTATCACATCAGAGTCTCCCCTTTCACCTCAGAAGTCCCCCAATCACATCAGACTCTTCCATCCCATCAGAGTCCCACTTTCACATCAGATCTCCCTTTCAAATCAGAAGCCACCATCACATTAGAGTCCCTCTTTCACTTCAGAAGTCCCCCAATCACATTAGAATCTCCCATCACATCAGAGTCCCACTTTCACATCAGAATCCCCCCATCATATCAGAATCTCCTATCACATCAGAGTCTCCCCTTTCACATCAGGTCTCCCTTTCAAATCAGAAGCTGCCATCACATCAGAGTCCCCCTTTAACCTCAGAAGTCCCCCAATCACATCAGAATCTCCCATCACATCAGAATCCCCCCATCACACCAGAATTGCTGCAGGTTGGGTAAAATCTTGTAGCGGGCTGCATGTGTCCCTCGGGCCGTAGTTTGGAGACCTCTGCTTTAGGAAGTCAGGCCGTGGGAGAGTCAAAGTGGAACTATGGGCAAAAGCAAAAAAATGACCTCTATGATTCAGTCTGTCACTCGCAGTAACACAGCAGTTTTTCTTTCTTTCTGAGTCCACCAATAACATATGTTGCTTCTGTCAGCAGATGCCTTTTTTTCTTCTAGATTGGACATGACTGCTGAGAAAAGGCTCCATTTCCATCTAAGCATTCTGCGGATGTTTTTGCACGCTTTATTTTGTTAATGGCACCCCAAAAGCAGCATTTTTCGCATCCATCGAAACACACGCAACAAATGTGCCAAAATGCGTGACGCTCTGTGTCCAAAAAAGGTGTAGGGGCTACTTCGGGGTACGTGTCGCGTGTAGGGCATTCAAATGGATGCACAGCCCTACGAATGTAGAGCGAAAATGCGCATTAATGCGCAGAGATGTAAATGCAGATATACCTAGGCGTACCATCCCTGCGTGGCACATTTCAAGCCCTTATTGTGGGTGACCATGCCTTCTATACATTGACACGCAAGATAAACCTTTGTTGGGAGGGCAAGGTCATGGATTTATTAGACTTTAAACTGTCACTTTAATAAACAGCTTCTTAATGAAACATTATCCTTCTAAATGTAATTCTGCTCAAAGCTATTCTTGTGTTCCCTTAAAGCCTACGTTTGTTTAGTTATTTATTTATTTTAATTAGCACCATGGATGGAACTTGCATTAAATGAAAGAGTCCTTTTTGCTAAAGGCTACTTTCTTGGTTTAAATCTTCCATCCTCTGCCCCCACCCCCCCCCCCCCCATTCTCTTACCACCACAGCGGTATTCTTTCGGTGCTCTTGGGGTTAATACAATCCACTGGATCTGTCACAGGAACTTAGCAATAGTGCTGGCCAGGGGTGGACTGACAACTCATGGGGCCCCCAGGCAATAGGGGATCATGGGGCCCCTGTGTCCTCGCCCACACCCAAAAAAAGCCTATGAAAAAGCCAATGAAAGATACAGGGGCATCTCATGGGGCTTCCTACTGAGCCTGGGCCCTCAGGCAGTGCCCGAGTGCTTGAATGGTCAATCCACCCCTGGTGCCGACTATGGCCAACCTTTCCTTTGCCCATGTCCATTCATAGAAACTGTACTATAGCTTACATTATTATATATAATATACTGTAGCTCTACTATAGCTTACATTGCACTTTATGAATGGAGGAGGCAGACCTTTCATTTATCCAATCATCCTCCATTCATAGAGTACTTTTCATCACGGAAGAGTTTTGTACAGCTTTTATCAGTGGAGAAGAAAGGGGCAAGCATGGTCAACAATCTCAACAAGTGCCGGGTCCAGTGGCTGTAATATAGCAATTCTAAAGGTTGTAATTTATAAAAATAACAAACATGCTATACTTACCTGCTCTGTGCAATGGTTTTGCACAGAGCAGCCTTGTTCTTCTTCTTCTTCTTTTTGGGTCCCCTGTCGGTGGTCCTGGCTCCTCCCCCCCTGCCGAGTGCCCCAATAAAAGTCTTTTGCTATGGACATGCACATGTGGCTGAGTTAGGCTACGTTCACACTAGCGTGGTGTGCAGGCGGCAGAGAGGCGTTTGGGAAGCGTTTTAAACCGCTTCCCAAACGCCTCTGACAATTCTGCACAATTCTAACGGGAGCGTTAGCGTCGCGGCAAAACGAACGCCTCTGGTCGAGTCAGGAGGCATTGAAGCCTCCTATTCTAGTGTATGGTGCCGCTCCGCAAACGGCATGGTTGCGGGGCATTTGCGGAGCGGTAACACCATTTAAACTTCATTATAGGCGTTTGCGGTGCGTTTTTAGCAAATGCCTAGCAGCCGCCGCTAAAAACCGCGCATGTGGCGTTTGCTGAGCGTTAAATAACGCTCCGAAAACGCCAGACCAACGCTTGCCAAGCGCTATAGGGGCGTTTGGTAAGTGTTGGTAAAACAGTCAAGTGTGAATGAGCCCTTACATCATCCCTTCCCTGGTCAATCAGAAAGACTGAACAACCTACACCTGGAAGAAGCCATGGAGAAAATGCCACTACCCATTAGTATGGGTGGCTGTATGCTGCAGATGTCTCTCCGGGGTGCAGAAACATGCCTGAAATCTAAGGTGGATTCCTCATACCGCCATTATGTATGAGGCCTTCATGTCAAACTGATGTTCAATATTATGAAGTAAATGATACAAACATATGGAGACTGTATACCAACAGTGTACAGGACATCCCTAGGCCTAGGTTGTCATATTGCATATAGTTACAGAAGGTCATTTTTATTAACATTAAATTACAATATGACTTGTATTGCTGATTTTTTTTTTTCATGAAAATGGAGTTGCCCTTTAGAAACTACTTAACTAAACAAGTAAATCACTAACTGGCTACCTGTATTACACCTCTTGGTAGCATTATGTGTACAACGAAATTAGTGGTTCAATTTAAAGGCTAAGTTCACCTTCTGAACATGTTACACCCTTGGTCTGAGTTGATACCTATACATTTTTCTGCTGCGTTTTGCGGAAACGCACAGCAGTCCTTTTAACATGATTTCTTGTGGGACATGTTCACATGTTTTCACCCGGTGCGTTTATTGGAAAGGGTCAGGGACTTTTTTAAATGCAAAACGTTGCGTTTTTGGTTCTATAGACTTCAATGGAGATGCTGCAAAAAAGCACGTAGTGTGTTTTTGATGCGTTTTTGACAAGTTTTTGATACGTTTTACATTTTAATCTGCCCAGCAACAAGTGAACTGAGGGAAAAACAAATCTTAAAGCCTAAGTAAAATTTTACAACTTTGACATTTGTTAGTAAAACCGTACATATCATCACAATTACTTTGTACATCCAGGTGAATTATACCGCGTTTTTTTTTCAGGACAAATTGGGCTTTCATTTGGTGGTAAATGTTAATGGATATCCCATGATTTTTTTTTTTTATTATCAAAGGAAAAATGGCCCAAAATATGAAAAAATATATATATTTTTCTAATTTAGCTGTGTGTTTCTTGTTACTGCCATAATCTACCACCAAAGAACAATCCAAAATAAATTTCCCAGCTCCTGACGATCGCAGCGATACCATATATGTGTATGTTATTTGTTATTTGTACCCGTAGTACAGCCCAGAAACAATAGTGTGCATTTTGTCTTTTGTTTTGTTAACTAAAACACCCTGACACTAACTGACACCGATACCAATGAAAAAAAAAAAATCCTGACCTTTGACCTTGACCCAAACACTAATCCTGGCACTGAACTAGATCAAACCTTGATCTAGGTATTTTTTCTTAATGTTTTATTTTATTTTTTGTTATTTATTTATGTATTCATCTTTTCTTTTTTTTTTTACAAACAGTTGTTTTTTTTCTCTTTGCAAGGAAAGAGAGAGATACAATGTATCTCTCTCCTCCATTCAGAGAGAAAAAAAAACCCAAGAGGGGTGGGTTTCACAGTGACTGATCACTGTGATAGCTAATCAGAGGCTATCACAGCGATCATGTGACCCGAAATCGGGAGTCCCAGGTCCCGATCGTTAGAATGGGACCTGGAGCACTCAGCGACCCCCTGGTCTTTGTGCTGGGAGCACAAAGACAGGTACGCAAATATGTGGTCCCACGGAAAAAAGCCCAGTTCTGTGAGGCTTCATATTTGTATTACATAGGCGCCAAGGGGTTAAGAAACAAACAAACTGCAAAACACAGCAAAATGGCATCCTCCCGGGCATGCGCAGTTTGCGCGCCTGCAGAGCCATGCAGCGGCGCGATCTGTCACCGGCCGTGTACCTCAGACATGGCCAATGACAGATCTGAGTACCGGCCCCATTGCCAGTACCATGTGACCTGCTGGGACCAATCACAGCAGGTCACATGATAGTTGTATACAATGGATGGCTTCATTCATGCCATCCATGGTATACTAGTGTGTCTAGCTGTGAATGGTCACAGCGATCACATGCACAAGCTGGGCAAATCACAGCCCAGCTGTGTCATGTTATTAGCTGTGGCCAAATCACAACTAAACACAAAAAAACAAACAAACCCTTTAATGAATCGATGTCATTCAGGTAAATGCTTGCTTATAGAAAAGTAATTCTTTGCTATAAGCAAATTGTGTAAAAAAAATACTGATCACTTCCCCAAAGTAGTACAATGTTACTATGGTAGCATTGTGCTACTTTGGTCATAGTGAAATATGAAAAAAAATCTTTAAAAAAATAAAAATTTAATAAAAAATTAAAAATAATAAAAAAAAATATTTTTTTTTTCATACTGTCACCAGTCAGTGTCCCTGATCACCGCCATGCAAGTTATATGATGACGCTGTACTGCACTGGTGACAGTATGTAAAAAAAAAATAGTGAAATTTTTTTTTTTTTTTAATTTTCCGAAAAATTATGACAAAATAATACAACTTCAAAAAAGTCGCCATGCCTCTTATGAAGTACGTCGGACTGTCTACTCTGCAAAAAGGGGTCATTTGGAGGATATCTGTACTATTCTGACATTCTTGGACCTCAAGAAATTAGATTGGCTGTCAGTACTTCAGGATTGATCAATATTCAGCTCTATACCATAGTTTGTGAACTCTATAACTTTCCTACAAACTAAATAATACATCCTAATTTGGGTTATTTTCACCAAAGACATGTAGCAGAATACATCTCGGCCTAAATTTATGAAGAACAATTATTTATTTGTAAACTTTTATAACAGAAACAAAGAAAAATGTGTTTTTTTTTTTTCAAAATTTTCGGTCTTTTTTTGCTAATTTAGCAAAAATAAAAACCCCAGCGGTGATTAAATACCACAAAAAGAAAGCTCTAGTTGTGTGAAGAAAATGATAAAAATTTTAGTTTGGGTACAATGTTGCATGACCGCGCAATTGTCATTCAAAGTGTGAGAGCGCTGAAACCAGAAAACTGGCCTGGGCAGGAAGGGGGTAAAAGTGCCTGGTATGGAAATGGTTAAACCTCCTTTCTCTTCACTTCCTGTCCTGCTGACAACAATTTTCCAGACTTTGGAGGGTCTATTGTTTGCATTTGTCAGGCTATAATAGAAAACAAACTGAGCAAGGTTTTTATTAAACTTGTGTGCTAAATGAAATCCTGATATGTCCTTAAAGTATAAGTAAACCCTCACCTTGTAAAACAACCCATTCAGTTCAAAATACAAATGAAAGGCAAAACATTTGTGTATAGATATAAACCCCTCCCCCCCCACTATAAATACGTTTATTTCCCCCCTTCTTCTTTATAAGTGATCACATAGCCCCTGTTCTCAGCTGAATAAGGAGTGAAGATTGGGGGGGGAGGAGCAACAGCAGCACACACTGGTCTTCCCAGTGAAGTGGGATGTGTCAGTACAGGGGCAGACTGAAAACTCATGGGGCCCCCAGGTAATAGGGGATCATGGGGCCCCTGTGTCCTTGCCCAATCTCAAAAAAAGCTTATGAAAAAGGTACCAGGGGCATCTCATGGGGCCCCTTACTGACCCCGGGCCCTCGGGCAGTGCCCGAGTTTCCAAATGGTCAGTCCGCCCCTGGTCAGTACAAGTCTGATCATTGGAAGAGAGCAGGCTGAGTTCAAAGCACAGCTAGAGAACTGACCACACTGTGCTCCCCTGCTTAGTGTGGTAAGTTTTTAATAGGACAGCAAGGGAATTGGCAGGAAAAGCAGAGAAACAAAAAAAGCAATATAAAGAGAACAGGATACTTTTTCATACAAGTACATGGTACAGCCGGCACATATCAGGAATATGAAATGTTGGGTTTACAAAATTTTTTTAGGGGCGGTTCACACTATAGAAATGTAGTCCAGATGCGTTCCGGATGCGTTTCTGCATGTCCATTTTTGATGCATTTTTTTGCATTCCAGTGCTGTTTTTAATACTTTCTGGTTAATTTTCCCCTCTCTATTTTTCAATGTAAATAGGGACATATGCATTCCAGTGCGTTTTTGGTGCAGTTTGGTGCAATACGGTGCATTTGTTATGCGTTTTCACCACGTTCCAGTACAGTTCTCTGCAGGAAAAATACAGCCTGTTCTACTTTTTTTTCTGCAACTGGAACTGCAAGCACTGATGTAAACTATGACATTGACAGCCATATAACCTACTTTCTGTGCGTTTTGGATGCAGAAAAAAGCAACTGAAATGCATGTAGTGTGAACTGGCCCTTAAAGGGGAACTTCAATCTTCTTGATCATGGTCCGCCCAGGGGCGGACTGACCATTTGGGAACTCGGGCAATGCCCGAGGGACCGGGTCAGTAAGGGGCCCCATGAGATGCCCCTGGTACCTTTTTCATAGGCTTTTTTGAGTTTGGGCAAGGACACAGGTGCGCCATGATCCCCTATTGCCTGGGGGCCCCCATGAGTTGTCAGTCCATCCCTGGTTCCGCCCCATCCACTGGCGCTGCCATTTTCAATAGTCCAGCACATGTGCAAATGCTCCAAGTAGCTCTGCCTGGCCTTCAGGACCTGGAAGAAGCCCACAGTGCATCTACATATGTGCCAAGCTGTGCTCACACATGCGCAGGAAAAGAGATCACTCTTCACTGTATATTCCTCTTGCACTTGCACTTTGAGACCCAGTGTCTGCGCACCCGCGGGTTTCTAAGCTTGGCAAATCCCTTCAGCACAAGTGCGCATGAGCACACAACCTCAACTGCGGCTGGGAGAAAAGACTAACAGAACACTAAGGACCAGTTCACACTACATGCCTTTCAGTTGCTTTTTTCTGCATCAAAAACGCACAGAAAGTAGGTTATATGGTTGTCAATGTCATAGTTCACATCAGTGCTTGAATTCCAGTGCGTTCCGGTTGCAGAAAAAAAAAGAAGAACATGCTGCATTTTTCCTGCACAGAACGTACTGGAACGCAGTAAAATGCATAAAAAAAATGCACTGGAACGCACATGTCCCTATTTAAACTGAAGAAAAATAGAGGGGAAAAAAATGAACTGGAATGCATAAAAATGCACTGGAACGTATCAAAAATGCATCAAAAACGCACCGCAACATGCCAAAAAAGAGTAAAAATGTACATGCACAAACGCATCCGGAATGTATCTGGACTGCCTAAGGGCCAGTTCACACTACATGCATTTTATTTGCTTTTTTTATGCATCCAAAACGCACAGAAAGTACGTTATATGGTTGTCAATGTCATAGTTCACATCAGTGTTTGCAGTTCAGGTGCATTCCAGTTGCAGAAAAAAGTAGAACCGGGAAAAAATGAACTGTAATGCAAAAAAAACAGCACTGGAACACGTCGCAAAAATGCATCAAAAAAGCACTGGAACGCACCGAAGATGCAATACAAACTAATTTGGAATGCATCTGGAATGCTTTTTTATAGTGTGAACTGGCCCTAAAATTGAAGAAAAATGGGAAAAAAATTACCTGAAATGCAAAAAAACGCACTGTAACGTGTCAAAAACGCACTGGAACACACCAAAAACACGTCAAAACACGCATGCAAAAACGCAGCCGGAACGCATCTGAAATGCTTTTCTATAGTGTGAACCAGCCCTAAAACTGAAGAAAAAGGGGAATAAATGAACTGGAATCCAAAAAAAACCCGCACTGGGACACATAAAAAACACATCAAAACTGCACCGGAATGCGCCAAAAATGTGTCAAAAATGCACATGCAAAAACACACCCAGAATGCATCTGCAATGCTTTTCTATAGTGTGAACCGGCCCTAAAATTAAAGAAAAATAGAGGGTAAAAAATGAACTGGAATGCAAAAATCCAGCACTGGAATGCATCAAAAACGCGCATACAAAAATGCATCCTGAACGCATCTGGAATACTTTTGTATAGTGTGAACCGGCCCTAATATTGAATAAAAAGAGAGGGGGGGGGAAATGAACTGGAATGCAAAAAAACCCCGCAGTGAAACGCATCAAAAATGCAACGGAATGTGCCAAAAAAAGCGTCAAAAACGCGCATGCAAAAACGCATCTGGAACGCATCTGGAATGCTTTTCTATAGTGTGAACTGTCCCTAAAATGAAAGAAAAAGAGGAGAAAAAAATTAACTGGAACGGGGCAAAAATGCACTGGAACGCGACAAAAACGCATAAAAACGTGCATGCAAAAACACAGCCAGAACGCATCTGAAAAGCTTTTGTATAGTGTGAACCAGCCCTAAAATTGAAGAAAAGGGAATAAATGAACTGTAATTCCAAAAAAACCCACACTGGAATACAAACAAAACGCATCAAAACTGCAGCGGAATGCACAAAAATATGTGTAAAAAATGCGCATGCAAAAACGCATCTGGAATGCATCTGGAATGCTTTTCTATAGTGTGAACCGACCCTAAAATTGAAGAAAAAGAGAGGGGAAAAAAATAACTGGAACGCATTAAAAACGCACCAGAACGCGCCAAAAATGTGTCAAAACGTGCATGCAAAAACGCAGCCGGAACTAATCTGGAAAGCTTTTCTATAGTGTGAACTGGCCCTAAAATTTAAGAATGAGAGGGGAATAAATGCACTGTAATGCAAAAAACCCCACACTGGAACGCATAAAAAATGCATCAAAACTGCACCGCAACGCACCAAAAATGTGTCAAAAATGCACATGCAAAAACGCATCTGGAACGCATAAAAAATGCATCAAAACTGCAGCGGAACGCACAAAAATATGTGTAAAAAATGCGCATGCAAAAACGCATCTGGAATGCTTTTCTATAGTGTGAACCGGCCCTAAAATTGAAGAAAAAGAGAGGGGAAAAAAATTAACTGGAACGTGTTAAAAACGCACCAGAACACGCCAAAAATGTGTCAAAACGTGCATGCAAAAATGCAGCCAGAACTAATCTGGAAAGCTTTTTTATAGTGTGAACTGGCCCTAAAATTGAAGAAAAAGAGAGGGGAAAAAATGAACTGGAATGCAAAAAAAACGCATTGTAAGGCGTCAAAAATGTGCATGCAAAAACGCATCTGGAAGGCATCCGGAACGCTTTTGTATAGCGTGAAGTGACCCTACAACATGTAGAACGTGCTGCTTGTTGGTTTGGGGGAGCCCATTGGGGGCACCCTGTGTGTCGGGGACCCAGCGGGGATTACTTGGTAGCAGGGAAGAGCAGATGTTCTGGTTCTCATGCCGTAGACTTGCTCTTCTCCAGTCCCATCCTTCCTCATTGTTTTCACAACTACAAAACAAGTTTGTTGGCTTGCCATGGCCTCTAATCATCAGCATCTGGCTGGTCTGCAGCCTCTGACAGTCTGATTAGATGAACCTTTGCGCTCTACAAACATGTTTTCCTCTCTAGTTGATGGTGTTGGCTGTGATTAAGCAGCACCTTAGGGCTATGTAGTCACACCCATTGTTTTGCTGAGGCATGCTTCACACGCATCCTACATGGCTCTCTTTCATGTTTTGGAAACATGGGAGGTATGACAGTGCACACAGCTACAGACCATCTGATTCAATGCCTTCAGTGCTAGGAGCTGAACAATAATTCTTTCCAAACTGCTCCGCACTTATGTAGCCACTTGAGAGACAGATGATAAACTGCTGGAAGGAGGCAGCCCCTGCATAGACTTTAGTAAACCCATCCTATCTAGCATTCCATATCACTTCAAATAGCCAACCGCAGGAAGCGACATCTGATATTTTCCTTAGGGTTCGGTCACACTATACATGCATGATAACTGATGGAAACTGATGTACAGATTTCACTTGCAGAGACGTCAGTCTACATCAATTTTCATCAATGAGTTTTAGGCCCCTTTCACACGGGGCGGATCCGGTTAGCGGATCTGCTTGCTCAGTGGAGGATCTCTCCGCGGAACCCCGCTGAGCAAGTGGATGACAGCTCTGTGTCCGCTCCGCCGCTGCTTGCTCTCCTCAGTGGGCGGCCCATGAAAAACAGACCGACTGACCGTTTTCATCCAACCTGATCTGACGGATGGAAGGGGAATTGGATCCCCATCCGTCCCTTTATGGCGGATTGGATCAGGATTTGATGTCGCTGGGTGTAAATGGACACATATTCGTTTACACCCGCTGCTCCATAGAGGAGAATGGAGGTTCCGATCCAGTCCGCCTGAGCAATGCGCCTGACCACAGGTCAGATGCAATGCTTCCACCAATCATCACACATGATGATGTCCCAAGGTGGCAGTGTAACCCCGCCCTCTTGTGACGTCATCACAGTATTTAAGAACTGCCAGGGCGGCGCAGCTGTCACACGTCAGGAGCCAGCGTCAAGAGCGGAGTGGGGTTTTTTAAAATCTTTTTCCGGGTCAGCGGT